TTGGCTCTGACATTTTCCCGTGTTGGAAGTTTGGAGAGAGCATCACACCCTGACATTTACCTTCCTGAGTAAAGGAATGTAATCCTGGCTCTGCACACGAATGACAACAGAGAAGAGCCATCAGAAATTAACCTTTTTGTAGCCAGTTTCTTGCAGGTGCATTTCACATCAGGGTCCAGAACCTACGGGATACAGAATTTTTTAGCATATACAAAACTGAACATCATTTCATTTCTAACAGAGTTGCCAAAATGTTATAGATGGCAGGTATTCGTTTACAGGTCTGTACATATAAAGGAATATATTGAACACATTCATACTTATAAATTTGATGGTAGTTTGAGTAGCTTTAAAACATTCATCCTAAAACACTGTTTTACCTTCAATGCTATAAAGACAAAATTTGGGGGGAAATGCATGAAAACATCAGGCTTGTTTTTTTATTTACTTATCTTTTTTCTCAATTTTGAAAATCATATATTAATTTTTTAATCAGAATAAAAGGAAGAGTTTTTAAATTCAGGCAGTAGACAATGTGGGGTTGCTAGAGTTGACTAATACTGTAGTCTTTTAATTTTCTCCTAATTTAGAATATCTCCACAGCTTCTATTTAATATCTTTGATAAAAAGAACCTGGATTATTATTGATAGATTAAAAATAATTAAAAGTTTTTTAAAGTAGAAAACTTTATATAGTAGTAATTGAGTTTGCAACCAGAAAATCGCTAATGAATGGACTGTGGAACCATGGAAATACATTGCATGCACCCAAACTAAGATCTCAGAAAAATCCTAGTAAAGATGGCATTTAACAGCATTGAGTTAGCATTTTAATCAGAATTACATGTATACTAAAGCTTATTATGAACCTAATAAGATTTACAGAATAAAAAGAAATGTGGTACATGACATGCTGAGTTTAGTTTTCCATGGAGATAGAAGAAACAAACATTTTGTTAGAATTGTGCTTATGAGTGAAGTTATGGGTACCTGATTCTTATCGACCATTGTGGATTGAAGAAAATATTTCTCAAAAATATTTGCTTGATTCAGACTGTATCATTGTATGGAGAAGTGGTTGCTGCCCAAAATTTGGATGGTTTCTTAAACACCTGCAGGTATGGCCGTCAGCAACAGCAGGCAGCGAGAGCTGCCCGGGAGAGCCCTCCAGCCTCCTGAAGCCAAGTGAAGAGATGAGAGTGTGAGAGACAAGCACAGGGCTCAGACTCTGGGTTCCCATCCTGGCTCAGCCCCGTTCTAGCTTTGAGGCCTTGGCCAAATCACTGTTTCTCTTAGCCTCCATGTCCCAAACCACCTAGCATAGATCATTTTTCCCCACAGAGGTCTCATGCAATTAAAGAAGTAAAAATGCATAAAGCACCTAGCAGAGCGCCCAGCACACAGTAGCTTCTCCAGATACTTTAGTTCCCTCCCTTGTGAGGCAGGCCTGGAGCCAACACCCCTCATCTCAAGACATCTGGTAGCTTCACAGCCTGGCATCCAGCCTGAGAAGATCCTGTGACTTCCAGTACTTTTTACTCTGTTTCTTATATTATATACTTTTTTAAAAGTGAGCCAAAATTGGGTTTTCTTAATAATTTTAGTATTACTTGCTATGCTCTCTGTGTTTCACTCATTTATGCCTGCTCTTATAATAGAAGTTAATGAAAAATTATTCTCAAGAAATATTATTTGCTGGAGAAGCTATAATTTTATATATTTCATTGCTGAGGGAACTCTGTGATAAAGAGAAATATCAAAGAATTTTCTACAGCAAATTACCACAAAAAAAAAACAAGCTTAAAAATATCTCAAGAAACTCAACAAGAAAGTGGAAACATGTGGTCTTGAAATATTATTTTAAAAGAAATAGGCTGAAATAATTGCTGGAGGGTGTCATGATGTGGTAATCAACTTAAAGTCCCACCATTCTTTTCTGTTGTTGCCTAGGACCATGTAAAAGCATACAGGCTTAATGTGATCTTAATGTGTACTTACATGCTTGAGTGTATATTCAGTGAATATTCCATTTCTGCTGTCTTCATGATATTTCAAGTAATAAGTTAATATTTATTTATCCTCTGGTGTGGTTATATTTAGAAATTGAGCTTGAACTCCAGATAATTGTGCACATACAGTTCTTAAGCCACTGACTTCAAAAAGGAAAAAAAACCTGTGCAGTCGTATTACTGTCCACCTTGCAGAGCTGCTGATAAGCAAAGTTCTATAGTTTCATGAATTGCCAAATCAGTTATCAGCTGGGTTCTGAATTTTAGATATGTTATTCCAAAAGATAAATGGACAAGTCAGAAATAACACAGCTTAATTTTAAGATACCAGGTGGAGATGGCAATATGATCCAGGAGAAATCTTGCTTTGATATGTAGGTGCATTCACTTGACTTGGCAGCGGTGTTAGACCCTGTCTCTGGAGCCATGGCAATGTCATTGTGGCAGACCTTCCCGTTCTGGTCTCGGACCGCACCACCCTTGTAAAGCAGTGAGGCTGTTGGGGTAATAACTCAAAAGCTAAAGGCTATAAAGAAAAAAAAACTGCGAGGACTGCAAGCAGGCACTAACATGGGTATCATGACTCTTTTCAGGTAGTAGGTGTAACCTTGAAGAAAAAGTGGCACTGTCTTCAAAAAAGTGACCTGACTCTGGCTTTGGTGGGTTTTTCTGCAAGAAATAAAAAGCACCGCATGTGTTAATTATACCTCCTTTCTAGCTGACCACTGCTTTGTTCTAGAGTTCAGCATGAAAGGACTAATTTTTATTTTGTTTTGTTTTTTGTTTGTTTTAGTGAAATGGCATGTCCGTTGCTAATTCTAGCTATTATAGTTGCACATGTGAAAAATATCTATATGTAGTTTATGGATTGGTAGCATTTCAAATAAATAGTGTATTGATATATTGACCTGAAATTTTTTGAGATGCTCATCAATTGACTTTTTTTCTTAGCTCAAAATTAGAGTCTGAATTATTTTTTTTAATTATACCTTATAACATTAGGTTTGTTCTTTTAAGTATGTTAGGGATTTAAATATAAGCATGCCACCCTGTTTATTGCTATCTTATTAGAACTTCTTGGAGCATGGAGAGAATTCTTCACAAATGATTTTGCTCTTTTGAAAAAAAACTAAACTGCAAAAATATTTGTTAAACTATAATCTGTAAATGAGTGTAGCTATAAAGCTTATAGAATATAATGTTTCACTGAAATAATTTTTATATTTTGAACAAATGTAAAATAGTTTCATAGTGCCATAACAAATCTTTTCCCAGAATTCCAAGGTGTATGCCTCTCTATTTTAGGAAGTTCACATTGCATCATAAAATAATAAACCTGGGATCATTATGCACCCCAATTTTTTATGTAGTCAATCAGTATTTCCCTTTATTCTTCCACAAGTCAGTTATTCTAAGGATTCTGGTCCTATAAACTTTTCAGAACTACTGTTAGTAGTTGTGTAATAGTAGTTATGTGATAGTAGTTGTGTGATAGTAACTACTGTTTTAGCTGATGAATAAAATCTCTTGTAGTTGATACTCCACCATGGAAATAACTTTATCATTCAGTAATGCTAGTTCTTGAATAAAAAAGCAAAGAAATAAACTTTGAGCACTGTAAAGAGATTCATACATTTTAAAATCTAGCAACTATAAAGTTTTCTTCATTTTCATAAATAAAAGCTGCCACTTGTTACATTTTAGAAATGAATGACTGAAAAAATGGACAATGCTTTTTCTCCCAGAATAAACCTACCTCCTAAATCCTTAAATCCCTGTGCAAGACCATAATAACATAATTTGGTCCTTTTGCATTGCATTGCATAGCAAGTATCAAGATTTATTAACCTCTGGAGTTACTATTGACCCTAGCTCTTAATTCCCTTTCAGACAACAAACCCGTATGTCCATTTTTGTTTCTTTGCTATAATATCTCTGTGTGCTACACTTGTATTTTAGGTAGACTTACAACACGGATATTCATGTATGCTGTTAGTATAAAACTATTTTCTCCAGGGAGGCTTTGCCCAGAGACCTATGAAAATGGAAGTTTTTTTCTTTTTAAAGTGCTTAAAGATTATTTAATTTGTACATAGTATGAGATGTTTCTATTTGGATTAAAAAAGCGATATTTTATTTTTTCAATTATACCATATCTACTATCAAAAATTTAATAATCTAGTAAACCAAAAAGACAGAAAGCCAGCCTCCCCCTGTAAAGTCTATGACTCTGCCTGTAATGAGACAAAAAATGCAGGGAGAAACATATACCTAGATCTATATTTATACCTGTATCTATCAATGCCTTATTAATCATTTTTATTTACATCTGAATTTACAAGATTCTCCAAAGAGGAGACATTCTAAAATTCTATGAAAATTCTTTGGTCTCAAAAACAGAGTTACAATTTTTTTTCATACTACCTCTACAAAATAAGCTGGGTGAATTCCCGTGATATTAGGCGACTGAAGAATTTTGAGAGGTTTTTATGACACTTTTACTCTTTTTATGCCCAATCCACTCAAAATGACAGACTCCAGAGACCTCTCACCGAGCCCTCGGTGGGAGTCAGACCCTGGTGTGATCTTTGTCCAGGACTTCTCATTGTTATGCAAAGCTTTTAGGAATTATATAGGAATAATTTATAAATGAACATAGTAGGCAATCCATAATGTTTTAAAATCTATACTATAAAAATGATGTTCATGTCATGTAAATTGCCTTAAAATATATTATACATATAAAATACTATGTTAAAATTAAATAGAATGTCAGCTGTAAAGGTGAAAAAGGAGCTAACTAAAAATTCACAAACAATCTTTTTTCAGATTTTGTGTTTTTTCTCTTCAGCCAAAAGCCTCAAGACTCACTTGCAGGAGCCTACCTCTTCATTTATGTTGGATTGCTCTTTAAACATTAGAATATCTTGTAATAAATAATAAGTTAAAGATTTCTCCTGACACAAGTCATTGTTGATTTCACTGTTATAGGGAAAAGGCTCTAGGGCGGCCGATAAGGCTGTTGCCATGGTGATGAAGGAGATACCGAGGGAGGAGTCTGCTGAAGAAAAGCCCCTCCTTACTATGACATCACAGGTGGGCAGACCCATAGGGTTGCTGTAGGAAGCTGACATATGTTAATATATCAGACATTATGATTTTTAACTAGCAAAAAAAAAAAAAAAACATTAACTTGAATTAATTCTTTAAAAAGTACAGTTTCAATGAAACAATTATACAATATAAAATGAAAACCAAAACTGATTAAAAAAAGGAAAATTCCATCATTTAGTTATTTATTTGCGAATATTAATTTTCATTACTCAACTTTAGTTTAAAAAAATGTATGTGCAAGGAAAACATGTTGCTTCTTTATAAAGGAGTCTTATTAACAACTTTGGGAAATAAATGTTAAGTTAATCATACATTTGAAAAACAACCAAAAAATCAAATTCCTATGAATAAATACAAGTTATATTGTATACATATGTCAGTTTACCAGTAGAATATCTAAATTTTCTTAAATGTTAAATATATTTATGTTGTGACTATGCATAATGCATATGTGTCTATACATATTTATCTGGAAAACTAATTTACAGGAATGAGCCAGAAGTCCCTGAGTCCCCCTGCAGAAAATGGCATCTGTGACCCCTCTGCTGCTTAGTGACCTTGACAACAAAAATATCTCTATTATCAGCACATGAGGGCCATTTTCAGCATTTATTATAACAAGTATAGAAAAAAAGTTTGTGTTTATATGCAAAGACATGCTGAGGCTGTGAATCCTGTATGTCCTCAGGGGCTTTTGAAACACCCTGTAAAAGCCACATAAATATGTATAATATATTCATCACCACTCTGTGGAACTATCAGTTTTAAATTCTTAAATGAAAAATATTTTACTTGCATTTATCTTATAACTTAGATTAGATTGTTATCTTAAACATTTCTTTTTTCCAAAATGCAATAGTAAATGCAGTGATTCAGTTCCAATTATATGAACATGTCTAGAATTAGAAAAAATGTCCATTTACATTTCTTATGAAAAGTATTTATATCAAAAGCTAGATTATGGCGACGTATTTTTAGAATATCATCAGATCACATCCCCAGCTGCTGCCAACATGTGTGGTTTAATTTCATTCCAAACACTATGTTGTAAGTAATGGAAATTATAACAACATATAACATCAAACTTGAATATTTAAAAAGGTTATTAATGATTCCCAGGACTTCGGGATAAGTTTTACGTTGTGAGTTTTTTATCTATGAAGAAGAAATGCTTCCCAATGACACAGTAGTCATTGGAAAGAAATTTGCTTGATATTTACCAAGGTCTCCATTCTTTACACAACTTGCACAGTTAAACATGCACAGTTTCACATTGATCTCTTGCCCTTTGTCAAATCCTTGCTCAAAAGATCCAGTCTGTAGTTTCTCAGAGAAATGCTAAGGTAAGCGAGAACCACTTTGAGTTCTTGGCTGAGGACAGAGCCACACACATCAGTGGATAAGACCTGTCCAGATTTGCAGCTGGCGTAGCTGTGCTACAACAGAGAACTTCAGGGCATAACAATCCAGGACAGGCTCTGGCCCCCAAAATTCTTTTTTCCCCAAAACCATGCATTGGTATGTAGTTTCCAGTAATGCTTTTCAAATGTCCAAAATGATTATCAAACCTAAGCTGGAATTTAAAATTTAATGCAAAATAATATTTTTATTTTTAATTTAGAAAAAATTGTGATTATTACCATTTTTTCCACATTCAGAACATTTGTGCGTGCCAAGTTCCTTATTTGATCCCTGTCTAATTTGCATTAACTGTTTTTGAAGTATTAGTTATTGCATGAAGATTATATAATGCTTTCTTTGATGCATCATATTCTTGTTGCCTACTGGCTAGTTTATGAATCAGCAAACAAAATTCTGATTCATAAAATGTAATGCACATGTTATATTGATAATTTTATGGAGTTAATTCAGTGACATCTTGATACAATGATCTCTCAGTCAAATGCAGTTTTATTAGTTGATAAACTTTTTCCACTGTATACAAGTGGCTTCCTCCCTGCTATGCACAGGCCAAAAAGCAGCAGAATGCTCTGAAAAAGTGAGTACTCCTCATGGCAACCACAGCATCCAGTCCGTGTACCATACCACATTCTTACTCGTGATCCTGTGAATGTATGAGCATCTTGAAACATGTCTGTCCCATGTCCTCTGTAAAGCCCCTTATGACATAGTACCACATACTGCTGAATACATTGGCTCATCTTCATCACTAGTATGTCGATGCCAGCTGCTCATTGACAGGTTTCAGATATGTCTGAAGCCAATTGCTGCTCTCTCTGTAATGTCCTGAGTTGATCACAATGGATAAAATACAGATTAAGTCCTTGAAAGAGTTCCTAACTTGTTTTGTCACTCTTTATTCAACAGATTGTAAGTGCTGAATAATTTACATTGAAGCATTTCTTTGTATTGTGTGATTACTACAGTCACTTTGAGAGCCAGACTTATTCCAGTGAAGTCATTTATAACACATCGAATAAAGTGAACAAAACAGAAGACTTGGCCAGGCGACCTAAACTCAGAGATGGCTGAGCCCCTGAGAATTGCTCTTTTGTGTCTGTAGTAATGAACAATACGTCAAGCACTTCAAAGGAGCTCAAGTTCGTGCTAGACTAACACTGTAAGTCAAACAGCACATAAACAAGTGTGCATTGATGAAGAGATAAGAGGAAAAACAAAATAGGGGAATCAGCAAATCTTTGAAGAAAGTTTCTCTAGACCTGTGCTGTCCAATGCAGTAGGCTCTAGCCACTGTGGCGCTTGAGTACTTTGTACCACCCCAACCTGAGATGTACTGTAAGTATAAAATACACACCAGATTTTGGAGCTTCAGTCCAAAGAAAAATAGTATAGCCCTGGCTGGTATGGCTCAGTGGACTGAGCGTGGGCTGCAAACCAAAGAGTCACCAGTTCAATCCCCAGGCAGGGCACATGCCTGGGTGGCAGGCCAGGTCCCCAGTGACGGCCACATGAGAGGCAACCATACATTGATGTTTTGCTCCCTCCCTTCCCCTGCCTCTAAAAATAAATAAAATAAAACCTTAAAAACATTTTTTAAAAAATAATATAAACTGGCACATTAATAATTTTATATTGATTACATCTTGAAATGATAATATTTTGGCTATACTTGGCTAAATAAAGTATATTGTTAAAATTATTTTCACCTGTTTCTTTTCACTTTAAAAAAATTGCTATTAGGAAGTTTAAAATTCCCAGGCTCTCTTTATATTTCTATGGAACAGCACTGCCCTGGACCGTGATGGGGTAAATAAGTCGAGTGTGAGGATAGAGGGGAAAACTATGTACCAGAGATTCATCATGTTGTAGAAAACGTATTCTTTTTGAAAATGAGATGACGTGAACAAATATTTTCTCTCATAAGGGACCTTAAGAAATTTCCCTTTTAACCACATCTCCTGGCACTTTTTTTTAGCAAGGTGCGTCCCATTCATTTTTTGCTACAGAGCACAGTGTCTTACAACTGTGTGTTCCACATCTCTTCTTGTTTAGGAAATTTGGGGTGGGCAAACTCAGCCTTTGTTTTTCTATCTGCCCCTATCCCTTACACCTTAATAGTGATTTAATTGTTTGTGTCTAATAAAAATTAAAAAGGTAATGTCCTTGATTGGAAAAACATTCTTAAGGCTACTAAATATATCCTTCTATTACTAACTTGAAACAATTGCTTTAAGTGTGTTCTCCTGCCTGCCCTAATGTTAGTACTTCCCATGTTGTAAAGAGTAATACCTATTCATTTTCCCATGAATAAATTCACATTTACAAATCTATCATGTCAGGAAAATATTTGTAGTCAGTTGAGATTTAGATCAAGTCAAAGAGTTCGAAGTTATCACATGGTAGTCCTTTACAAGAAGGTCCCCAGAGACCCACACACTGTATAAAAAGTGGGGTGGGGCAGAACCATTAGTACTATTAGCTCACGAGAAATTAGTTCTCTCCAGTGTCAGTTAGCCTGACAAAGCTACCAAAGCCTGACCACTTAAGGGACTTAAGATAATGATTTAGTTGTCTTGTCTTTTCAATGGATTTAGTCAGTTACCTTAGTTTTGATATGGTAACAGTTTTGATGGGCATTGCACAGATTTCTAAATTTGGGTAAGACTAATAAAGCTATAAACAAATAGTTCAATTACAATATTATGAATGAAACCTATACAACAAATGACACATGCTTTGAATCAACAATGTCACAAATAATAAAGGCATTTCAAAATGCCTCAAGATATACCTATTAAAAGCATATTTGTGTTTTTATTTACATAGAAATAAAACTATCTTAATTTTTCTATTATTTAAATGAGATAAAAGACATAGTATATATTATAATTTTAAATCAATATTACAAATATTACAAATATTTTTATGTTTTTTAAATTCCTGGCTTCAATGTTATAACTTAAAATTATTAAGTACTAAAATGTTTAAAAACAAAAACATAGTATTTACTTTAAACTAAAACAACAGTTTGAGATCATCAATCTGAAGTGTAAAATTATGGAATAGTAAATTATTATCTTTACAGACCTCGTTTGATCATATAAAATGTATTTTGGTTAGAAGTTAATTTGTAATGATATAAGTTACCACAAACCTTTAGCTGTATATTTTTTAGTGAAACACCTAAGCAATATATTGGTTAAAGACAAATAAGCTTAGATTTTAGTCAGAAACAAGCTATGGAAACATATGCTGGAGCTTAAGTAACAGACCGTATTCAAAAGCAAAACACTCTTCTGTCACTTTGGTTAAGTGTTCCCCTGTAGCTTGGATCGTATCATCATTTCCTTTTTAACATTAAAATTAGAGAAACTGAAGTTGAACTAAGGAAAATGCATTTTTAGATAGTTTAAAAACAGACCATAACTCATTAAAGCTGGATGATATTGTCTGCATTTTGTTCATCACAAAACCCAGTTCCGATATGAAATAAGAACCGCTTTTGTCCTGTGGTGGCCAATAGTAGCCACATCAACTAACCCAGTCTAAGTCATGAGTCTATTGACTGAATATTTCATTCACGACCTGTGACTACAAAGAAAGTGCGAGGTTCGATAATTGTTCGAATTCTGAGTGACACAAAGCCCCTCCATGCAAGGTCTCACCGATCCTCTAACTTCTGTTTCCTTTTGTTTTCATGTCCATTGACTGTGTAAGGGTTTTCCCTCAAAATCTCCAAGTTTGAATCTCAGATTTAAAATCCCTGACTGAGGCAGCGGTGTCGAGTCTTGAACTATCACTGGCCTCCCATTGTCATGGGTCTACGTCCTTCTTCCAAGGGTGTCGTGGAGCCGGCCTGTGCCTTTAGTTCAATTTTTCTCCTTAGGCATCCACTCTTTGCATCTCTGCCTTTTTAATGGAAACCTTGCATTTGGAAATGTTTCTTTACCTACCTCCAGGTTTCCAAACACTTAAATGATGTGATAACGGGGGGAAATGGACCTAAATGTGTGGTTTAAAACTGGTCAGGAAATTGGTAAACATTTCTGAGGCCCCCTTGCTTCTCTGAGTTGATCAAACCCAGTATAAAATTGAGGATGCCCATGCAATCATTCTTTTCTGCAATTTGCCATTCAATTAAACTATATAAAATCAGTCAACATTTATTATACTGCAACTCTGAGACACAAAAATTAAGTGGATGAGGTCTCTACTCACAAAGAGGGCACAGTCTAGTGGGAGGAAAACAGACTGGGTAAAGGAGGTGAGTGTGGAGATGCTGTGAGAAGGCAGTCCCTGCCGGGCACCGAAGTTCCCCAGGTGTGGGAGAGCGGGTCCTGGAAGAGAAATAAGGATGTATCGCCATTAAAAAGGCCTTTGAACTTATCTAAACATTAAGAAGAGAACCAAAGGAGAATAAGAAATACAAATTTTAAATGTGAACAAAGTGAGGCATACGCCTTAGCAATTATTGAAGTAGATCTCTTTAACTCAGTATAGTGGTCAATTAGACAAAGATTGCCATTACTCCAAATCAGTTATTTTAATAAAATGAAAACCAATTGATTCACCTTTCACTATTTTATAACACCAATGTACTCTGTACCCAAAGGATGAAATATTGCAAGTTCATAAAGTATTTTTAGACTGGAGGAAGTAATTCTAAGAGGAAGAAATACAGTATCCTATCAAGGAATAATGAGAGAATATATGGTATACGATTTGAAAGTAAAGCTTAGGGGAACTATTCAGGGGATTCTGTTTAGTTTGCAATTTCTTTTATGACCTAAAAGAATTACTTATTCTCAAGTCACCATAAGAAAACCATGAACTTGTTTGAAAATGCAGAGCAGGAGGCCATGTGAAAAGCTATTCTTACCTATACAAAGAAAAATAAAATTGGACTTAGTATGGTTAAAACAATGATTCCTAAATTCACCTGACTGAAGATACAGTTCAAAATTGGACTGTTTAAGATAGATCTTTTTATATCCTCAGTTTCTGCAAAGTCAATGTCCCATTTGGTAGCCATTTATTGAGCCCTTCTTATACGAAGACATTCTATTTGAAGTTGTGAAGAATATAAATATGAGTAAGCCATAGCCTCTGACCTCAGAGTTTATGAAAAAGATTTCTTTATGGTATCTCCTGTTTTATCTTCCACATGTCAATCAAAATCAAAAAACTTTCAGTTCCAAAATTACCTTCCCATGCTATCTGAAATCTGGCCCTTTATCTTCTTCACCTCCAAGTCTGACTACTGTCCCCAACTCCAACCCCAGCATTTCCCAAAAGCTAGATTGTGCTGCATCTTGAAAAATACTGACTCAGAAAGGAGTTTATGCGCTCTGATTTGTATCCATGGCAGAGAGCACGAGAGCAGCTAAGTTCAAGGGGATTGGGCAGAGACAACAACTCCATCGGTACAGGTGTGAAATGTGGTCAGAAACAAGACAGTAAGTGTGGAAGAGACACAGACCTTATGAGGCAGAAGATGAGGAGAAGATCGGAGGAGCTAAGCCTTGTCCTGGGTTCCCTAGGGTCTCTCTGAACACCCTCCTCTTCAGTGGAGAAAATCTGAGATTGCTAGAGATGTTTTCTCCACAAAATTAGTCTGAAGTGTGCAGGAGGTGAGAAACTCCTAAAAAAGTCCTATTACCCTCGATAAAGCAGACTTTCCTAAAAGGACAAGCCTCTCCATTAGTTGTGCTTTTTTCCCTTTTTTTTTCCATTTAGGTATTTATGTGCACAAAGGTCTTACTTTCTAGAATTCTTTTTATCAAATGTAGGCTATCATTTTTCAGTGTTTACAACTAAAAGCATGTACGGAAACCTAACACCCTGGACTTCTAAAACTACAGATAATTTATGTCTGTTTTTCAAAGGAATTTAATTGTATCCAAAGTAAAGAAAAAGTACATGGGGATTTTTGTGGACTATAACTTATCTTTAAATTAATTATTGATCTTGAAATCATGACTAAGACAATAACTAAATTATCTTTAGTTATCTATCATTATCATCAGACTTCTTCAGAGGAGTCATGTCTATCAAAGAGATAGTTGTGAGATTGCACATACATATATAAAACTTTTAAAGTTGCAGTTGTTATATTTACTCTTTGTACCGTATGCACTTTAGCCAACACATCTCTGAGACCTAGAACCAGAGACCAAGTAATCAGAACGCATTGCTGAGTCCATGCAAGCCTGTTACACTAACTTGTTTGAGTAGAGCGTGGTGCCATATTCGATGATGACTTTCACCTTCCATGAATGTTCGTAGCACAGCAGAACCCAGTCTCATTTGAAATGAGAATGACACAGCCTAGAGATTAGCCCTGTGGCTAAGTCAGGACCATCACACCATCTGGTAATATCACACTAGATGGGTCATTACTGTGAGCACATAAGGTTAAAAGGGCAAGTGCTACCAAGAAATACATGTTACCATATGTGGCCTTTGGAAGTGCCTTCATACACAGTTTTTACATGAACAAACTATAAATGAAATACAGGTCCTAGAAGACTAATCATATTTTCAGAAAAAGTATATGGGAAGTTTTATGGATTCAGAAGAACACACAGAATCACTGATGTTTAACCCTTTCTTCACTTTCTAGTATATTATATTCTATGTCAGCACTTTCAACTACATTTTCAGTAATCAAATTGACTTTTATACCAGACAATATTATAAATCACTCTTAAGTTTAAATAGACCATGGTATTCACAAAACTTCAAATATATTTTATCCCAGAAACATAAAAGGCTCATAGTCTCTCAACATTAAAAGTTATATTTTAATATAAATAAGAATGATTCCCGAGACTGTTCAAATTCAGAAAACAAAATTTAAAAGGCATTCAGAGTTTAAAGGAGCATCTTCTCAAAAAAAGGCTAACACCCAAACAGACCTTGGATAATTTGATTCCTAGAAAAACCTGTGAGTCTTTAGACATAGTAAAACTAAACTTATAATAATTGAAGAAATTCCTATCACTGTAATTTGAACATTAAAAGGAAATGGGTAGTCTCAGGGCTTACTCCTTGATAATACCCACATATGAAAATCAAATTGCTAACTCTACGTCAAAATCGTAAACTCTAGAGAAGATCTGAGATTTATCCATGTTTAAATCATAGGATGAACAGGAATAAGTACCAGATGTGCTTCTTGGTTTTCAGTCCCCAAATAATCACTAAATGTTTCCATAGTCCCCCTTCGGTAATAATAATAGCATTGCATTTTTCCTCTTACATTTACCATCAATTTTAGGTCTCTTGCCATCGTCCATAACCTCTAAGTTGTAATACCACTGATACTGTATTAAGGAAATAATGGAGTGAAAATGAGTTGAGTCACATAAAATACTTTGATTTGGTAATGTTCAAAAAACACTTTGTTTGTTATTTTCTATGTTCTTAAAATACAGCCTTGCAAAGAAGTATTTTAAAAATCTAGCTATTTTAGACACACCTTTTTTGATAATATGTATAAAACTAGATTGCTATGCCTATTTTAAGAAAGGCCAATATAAAATCTCCTGACATTGAGAGTTAATTTAGGGATTAACCACTTTTGTATCGGAAGTATATTTTTTCTCTTAACCACAGAAGCAGAACTTAAGGAAGTCTGGATTCAAGAAGTTCAGAAAAACTGGTAGTAAATAGATGGCTGCCCCTGATAAATAGAGACCCTTGAGAAATCAGACCTGAAATTAGAGAATAAGCCAGTGGGAAAATATAATGGAATTCACAGACATCTGTTTTATATATGGATTTTCACAGACAAAGCTACTGGATATGTAGTTAATATGTCAGGACAGTTAATACAACAATATTTTGTACTTTTTCTAAATAACATTTGTTATGCACTACAGAAGCATTCCAAGGAAATGTAAGGAAGGGTATGTGCCAGTAGCTGACTTGAGCTTTTAAGAGGGGGAGAAAGAATACCCACCAACGCACACAGATCTGTGTGTCTGCTGTTACCACAAAACACTGACTGAACAGTCCTAACCAGAATGTGTCACCTCAAAGTCCGAAGCTACTGTTCCAGGTCTCAGTAGGAGCTTATTGTCCAAGTGAAGAGTAGGATTGGCCCTTAGGAACAGATATTCAATAGCTATCATTTTCTTCATATTGAAATCAGAGAATAATTCTAAAACTGTTCTAGGAGGAGGAACAAAGGCTTGAGCTTTAAAAATTGAAGTTGGCTGCATCAAAAACGTTCACAGTGCTAAAAGGCTCATTTCCTACCCCTGGTATTTTTTTTCTTTCTTGTCCTTACCCCATTATTTATTGGTTTATTTATTTTTTGGTAGGCTTGCTATTCTCATTTTGTTGCAAGGCTGCATTTTAACTTGTCTGATTCTGCAGTTTAACATGCCCTTTGACACCTGTGTTCATTTGTTCTCAGCTGGTGAATGAACAGCAAGAAAGCAGACCCCTCCTGAGTCCCTCCATCGATGACTTTCTCTGTGAAACCAAATCGGAGGCAATAGCAAGGCCAGTAACGTCCAACACAGCTGGTAATTCTTTCACTTGTAACTGATTCTCAAGTAGAGTTAATTTTCACTCTAGTCAAATAGACGGTTCTTTTCCATAATTCATTTTAAGTGGAGGATAATGTTTGCAACCAACTTAAACTTTAGAACATATACCATTCACCCTAAGGAATAAATCACTTTCATTATACTATAAGAAACTATAATATATAGTACGCAAATTTTCTGAACATTAGCAGGCCACTATTAGCAATGAATCATTTTTCTATGCGTTTATTTTCATATTTACACCTCATCTCAAGTCGCATCATGGTAGGAAATCTTTAAAACAAAAGCATCAATTTCAAAGTAACATTTTCCAAGTTCTGCCTGAAAATTCTTTATATGACAAAAGTCAAGTAATATAAAAATATAGGCAGCCCCTTGAAGTGGACTGAAATGACAATTAAAATGTCGTAGGGACTTCGGATATTGTACAGCCAATTTCATTTTCATGTCATGTAAATGAGTCACTCGCTCCCTCTTACAACAGTTTGTTTGTACGTTATCCTGAAATTAAGCATACTCAAACAGTAATCATCATCTGTTAGGCACTAACAAGTATTCATGCAACGAGGATTTTAGGTTGCCTCAGGTATGACTCACACCTTCTCAGGTGCCCTCCCACTTTCCTATTCTCATAGATACTAAAACTAAGTCACTTACGTAGGGCCCACCCTGGGGGAGCAACATAAGATTTGCGTCAAAAGCTAATTTTCCCCTTCTATATCAGAGGCAGCCTTTCTGCATTGATCCCATTCACTCAACATTCATATTCGAAGGCATGTTGTTCAAGTAGGAATGAAAAAATGATGTTCAGAATCAGAGAGTAAAGGTTCGTTGGTTGCAGGAGAGAATTTAACAAAGAAAGGATATGATAATCACACACCATCTTGTTAAATTCCTTCTATTTCCCCAATATGTCCTCAGCTCGCCATTGCCTGAAGTATTTTCATTATACTTTTAATCTAAGAAAATCACAGATGAAGGAAATTATGATTTTTAAAGAGTGCTAAAAATTACAACCACAAGAGTAATTAACATAAGGGAGAGGCACTCTATGTGGGAGTATAGTCTACAGTCTCTGGGGTCAAAGGTGGTGATTTCACACCTCAGCTCTGCCACTTAGCAGCTGTGTCTTCAGGCAAGTTGCTTAACTAAATTAAATCTTTTTCCTAATCTACCTAGCAATAGTAAGATCTAGATCTCATGGGTTACTTGGGAAAATTAAAGGAAGCAATCTAGGTAAGTACTGAACACGGTGTGAGCTCTAACAGGTGCTATCATTCTTGTTAGCCATCGGCTGAGAAACAGTACCTCCAACACTTCCCTTTGTAAACTCACTGGTTTTCTGTACGTCACACCAACGCAGTCATTTTCTGAACTTAGCTATCACTTTGAGTAGTCAAGCAAATAAAATTGTGCTTGTTACATTTCAGGCAGGAAATTAAGTAAATTCACATGCTGTCGGATCAGATTCATCCTCCTGATCTACGAAACTGGATTTCTCCCCTTCAAACCAGGAAAGCTACCCCTGGAACAATGCAGAGGAGCCTTGTGTTTCTAACTGCAGGGAAATCCCTGAGAACTGGGTGCACTGAGAAGTCCCGCTATCCTCAGAAAAGCTGCCAAGCATAGAATTCTCAGATCTTGATTCCAGTACCCTCTGCACTTGCCAGTTCTAACTGATGCTAAAACTAAGTCACTTAGGAAGAGCCCCCCCAGAAAGAGCAACATGATATATGACTCAAAAGCTACTTTCATGTTGGTTTTTCTAGCACATAAAAGAGAGACAAGTGAAATATTGGAGAAAAAATCAATAGTATGTATAATTTCTTGCAATACCCAAACCTACAGTATGGCCTCTGTATCGGCTCCAGGCCTGCAAATGGCAAAGTGTTTCCACCTGCATAGATGAAGCAACAGAAATTTATTGTCTGGCAATTCCGGAACCTAGAAGTACAAAATCAAGGTCAGTAGGGCTATTCTCCCTCTGAAAGTGCTTGGGAAGGATCTATTCTAGGCCTCTCTCCTAGTTTCTGGTAGTTCCTTAGCTTGCAGCAGCATAACCCCGATCTTCACCTGACATCCTTCCTATGTGTATGTCTCCAAATGTCCCCTTTTTATAAGGCCTCCTACTCCATTGTGACTCAACTAATTATATCTCCAATGACCCTCTTGCCAAATGAAGTCACATTCTGAGGTACTGGGGGTTGAGACTTCAAAAGATGAGGTTTTTCTGGGGGGACACAATTCAGTCCATAACACCCTTCAAAGTAGGGAGTCGGGAAAAGTGATATTTTGAGACTAGAATTTCCTTTTCTCAGCCTCAGCATTCAATACATCTGGGTCACACAGATTTTTATCCTGAAGGAAGATTCTTCTGTGATAGTGGTTTTTAATCTTAAAGTATATCTTAGGGCAGAAACACTGTTTTTTTAAATTCTCACCCAGAGATATGTTTACTGATTTTTCAGAGAGAAAGAGAGAGAGAAACATCGATCAGTTGGCTTGCATATGTACTTCAGCTGGCAATCAAACCCTCAAACTTTTGGTGCCTGTGAGGACACTCCAGCCACCTGAGCTATCTGGCCAGGGCAACACTATATGCTTTTTTTAAAAGATTTTATTTATTTATCTTTAGAGGGGAAGGGAAGGAGAAAGGAAGAGAAATATCAATGTATGGTTGCCTCTCGTGTGTCCCCTGCTGGGAACTGGCCTGCAACCCAGGCATGTGCCCTGACTGGGAATCAAACCGTGATACTCTGGTTCGCAGGCCCGTGCTCAATCCACTGAGCTACACCAGCCAGGGCCTAACACTATATGCTTTAATACCTAAGAAATATGATTATTTTTTAATTATTACAAAGCCCACAATTTATATCTCAATATGCAACATCACATTATTACACATCTTTGAAAAGGAAGTGTTTTAGCATTCAAACACCTTGGAAAGAATTCTAATTTGTTCCAATTATTTTATAGTTAAAAGTTCTAGGAAGGGGATAGATTTATCATTTACTATCCAAATTTTTGATAAAAATAGTAATTTTTGAATGAAACACTGTCATTTTCTAGCAGAGTATGAAATTACATTGAGAAATCAGAACAGTCACTGAATGTTATCTATGGCATACCAGGCACTATGTACATCTTCACACTCGCAATGCATAGTAAACAGCCTCGGACTAAAATACGGAAGAGATCCTGCTTCAGGTGTGTACCAGGTCAGTCAAGCTGAACTTTGAAGAACCTTATATTAAAAAGAGAGGCATTTTTACTGGGTATTTTCTTCCAATAAAAAATTAAAGTCAGTGTGCCACCATCTTGACATTTACTTAAATGTTTAAGGAATATAGTTCTTATATAAATTAACACAAAGAAATATTTCTCTCTTCCAAAGGTCAGTTAAATAATGAGATTTATTTTTTATCAATCTTCTACCTTGAGAGAGTTTTAAATGATCATTTTGTCTTCAGTATTTCAATTATCTTTTTTACTTTCTGCACTAGAAGTAACTTCTTGTCATCCAATGATGATAACTTCAAGCTGATTTTTTTCCTGCTATTAACATCCTAAATTATCTTTAATTCATTTGTAATCTAATATATAGCTAATTCATTGACCTCACACTATATTTGTAGGTGGTAAGTAGCTCAATATCATTGCTTGTATCATTGATTTTAAAAAGGCAAATAAATACATATTATACACAGATGCATATAACAAGTGTTCTGAAAGTAACAACTCAATAAATATTTTAAGATAGTGACTATATCATAGGACAAATAATTATTATATAATTTGCAATAATAACTTATCACCTGTAATATCCAAAGAAAATCTAATACATGTCAGAATATAGGAAAGACTCTTTTCTGAAACACAAGAAAAATAGGTCTGCATTTACCAACCTACATAATCTAAAAGACTTTTATCCATAAACTTGAGCCATTAAGTAGAAATTTACTATACAACGATTTTTCGTGGTTTAAAAAATAATAATCTCACTTCTTGAGATGAGTGCCCACACACAGTACCTATTTGAGGTCTCTGTATATACGGGGGGAAAGGCAGCCTTAACAAAGTTCACCATTCCACCACGGCCCCCTAATTAAACACCTTAACTGCAAAATTAGTGTAATATTCGCAAAATGCACATTTATGAAGCCCAAGTAGCCATGAGCCCAATGACAGGCCTTTGGTAAAAACTTAGAAATGTGGGAAGCAGCATTAATTACGTATGTCAGTAAGAAGGCAACAGTTGGTTGAATTATTTAAGTCTAATTTATCTATTTCACGTCACTGGCAGAATTCTTCCTGAAGGACTTTGCTTCGTAGCCAGTGCATTAGAGAATACGATGTTTTCTGGAATGCCAGCTTAGAAAAGAGAACAAAGGTCCTCCCAGCTCCTCGCGGCACATTCTGTGACCGCACCAGTCAGGGCTGTCCCAAGATTCAGCCTCTCTTTTCATCCTCACAGTTCATAGCACTGTGTTCACCGCCAAAGCATCAAATCAGGGCTTCATTGCAGATGGTATTTTGTTCTGTGGTTAGCAGCCTCACCTCCCAGGGCCCAAGTAATCCAGAATGCACAGACACCTTGAGTGCCCTCGGGGGGCCCTCCAGTTCAGTGGGGGGTGATCCTCAATCAGGCGTCCTCGAAATAGATGGAAACAAATACTTATGTGTTCTATCTTCAGGAAATTTCACCCAATGAAAATAGGTTATCCAAAAACAACATTTCTGAAATCTCCAACTACTTAAGTTATGCCTCAGACAGCCCAACCTGCCCAAAAATTGGGACCTAAACAAAAAATAATGGAAGCCACATCAGTAGCGTCAGTTCATTTCGGGTGGTTCAGGTCAAGTGTAGAGAGGAGTGGTCAAGAGCACTTGGGAGGGAGGGGCCTGTGTTGAATCCTCTAATGGACACCGTCCTACCAGCTGTATTAGTTTCCTGTTCCTGCTGCAACAAATTACCACATGTTTAGTAGCTTGAAACAACACAGATTTATTATCCTATGGTTCTGGAAGTCAGCAGGCCTACAATCAAGGTGTTGGCAGGGTTGCATCTTGCCTGGGAGCTCTAAAGGAGAATTCATTTCCGTGCCTTTTCCAAGCTTCCACAGGCTATCCAGAATTCCTTTGCCAGTGGTCCCTTCCTCCATCTCCAAGGAAGAAGCCAACAGCATAAACTCTCTCTCTCTCTCTCTTTCTCTCTCTCTCTCTCTCACACACACACACACACACACCACTTGGACACATACATTTCCACATCCCACTGTAAGAGGTGGTTATCTTAATTTAAACACACATATTCTGGAACCCAAACCTTCATATGCCGACGAGAAACTTTTAAATTAGGTTTAAGAACATCAGCAGAGCAGACACCCTCATCTGTGGTGAGTGATGTTATCTTTGAAGCCCATGTGGAACAGCGAGACCCTTTATTTTTAATTCTTAGTTACACATATGTGCACATACACACACTAAAATGTGATTTGTCTTCCTCCAAAGGGCAAAGGGTGGCATCCATCCTTCTGTGCTTTTGAAACTGTGGTCCCTGGGGATTCTCCAGCTTCAAAGCTTTTCTGTGCGACCTCCGTGCCACCCCCTTCATCACCTGGGTAACACATTGGGCCTTTCGTCTGTGCCAAGCATGGGTTCCACATTTGCTGGGAAAAGAACAAAGGAGTGAGAGCTCAGAACCAACGCCGGAAGTGCTGAGGACAGTTTGGAGGGGGAAGGAATGTTACTGAGCCAAGTTTGAATCCACAATTCACTCTTAGCAATTCATTTACTCTGAATGCTGAGAAGCAATACAGAATTAAATGACTACTTACCTGTTATTATTTGTAACAAACATACTTCCTATACACAAGTAGACAAGTTCTATATAAGTTGCTTCTAAAAGTAGAGTGGGAACAAGTGACTAATTCCTAACTGTTTTCAACAATGAGTTAAAAGGACCTATGTGGCATTTCAGAGGCCGCGTTCCTCTTTCTTCCCTCTATTATAAAGAAATCACCAGGGGCCTAGGACCACTACTGACATACAGTGGATAGGAAACTTTTGTTTAAACGTTTGAAGGACAGGAAACGTGTGGCGACCTAGCCTATTTTGACTGCGTACCACGCTTAAATTGTAGCTATCAAGCCAGGTGCCTTAGCTCTGAAAGCCACTTCTTTCCCCCACATTCAAGTACTCGTTAGCCACAAAACGGTCCTCAGATCGCAGAGCAGCTCAGCACTGGGAAGGGCCCCCATCTCCTCAGGAAGCCTCGGGTGCAGTAAGCTGACACTTTCAGGCCATCTTATGATAAATTCACTTTATAACATCTTCTGTGGAACCACTATCTTTGTCTCATCCTCCGTTTTATTCCCACTGGTGCTTCCTCTTGCTGTCAGTGTGTGGAGCTGATTCGTGCCTGAAATAGAAAGGACCAAGGAAAATAGGAGGAGATTATAGGAGGAGAAAATAGAAGAACTGATAGGAAAAGGAAAGAAAAGCATCACGAATTGACCACCAACGAATGGAAATAACATTTATTGAGTACTTATTGTATGCATGACATTTTACACATTTGACTAACAAATCAGAAAATTTTATTTCTGTATCATACTTAAAAGATAGCCTACTAATTCCACATTTTGTAGATGAGGAAACCAAAACTCAGAGAGGTCAAGAAACTTATTCCAAGTCACACAGCTAAGCAGTGATGTAGGCAGGTCTTTCCATTTCATCATCAACATGCAGCCACTGCGATTTATAACTGAAATCAGAAGACAAGATCATGGAGAGTAAAGCATGACATGCTAGCTTAAGGATCCCACAGGGGTGCTTAGCTCACAAGGACAGTGCAGAACTGAAGGAACTCTGGCTGTGAGCTCAGTGGAGCCCTGATCCTGCCCTCAGTACAAGAGGAAGCAGGTGGAAGAGAGGTGAGACATCAACACAAATCTGTTTCCTACCAAGAGGGAAAGTTGGTAGATCAGAAGAAGGAGTGGTGCTGTCCCAGTAGATGGTGCCAGGAAGGGTTAACGCAAGGGGTTTTGTTGTCACTTTGATGGTGTTTCTGAGCTAGTGGAGTGAAGAGATGCTGGGCCACACAGCACCAGGCCAGTTCAGAAGCCAGCCTCCCACAACACGCTAGTCAAACACCGGTGACTTGCACCGGTGACTTGTAACAGCAAGAAGAAAGAAGAGTTTCAAAGCCTGCCTGTTTAATTCTCATTTGCCTGGTTTGCATTTGAACAAATTACTATTTCCATCTACATTACAGTATTTAATACAATGTAATCAACCTGCTAGGAGGTAAAAGTCTCATTAGACTTTTTTTGATTTGTTACATTGAAACTTAAACTTGCATATTAAGCAGCAAAGACATTACCATGTGTAGCCATTCATCAACTGTGTATTATAAAACACCTTTCTAGTTCAGCCCAAACAGCAAGCCATTTTCTGATTAAACCACTTAATTAGATAAAATGTAATTAACAGCATTCCATTATACGATGTTTACTTGCGTGGTTTGAAATTAAAACACAAAGACATTCAGAAACTTTACCAAATCATCTTCATAATTGTTTCACAAGCATATCCCTGAAAATGGTAGATTGACTCTTCTCTGGAAAAACTGCATTCTAAAATAAACCTCTCTGTAAATAAAGCAAAACAGTAACCTAAATAGTACCTGAACTCAGATTCGATTTTATCATTTGAATTTCATTTAAGCCTGCGTCACTGGTGAGGCTGATCTAAATCCCGCCCTGCAGATTCGTACCATGTGGGAAAAGGACAGGCAGCGAACCTCCCTGTGTAAATACCAACTGTCCTTACAAATCAATGACGACCTGACTTAATTTGGTACTTCCAACCTACGCTACAAACACAAATTCCTTCTGCACCCAACTGAAATCTAGTTTTAAAGAATAATTTCAGAACTCCGGCTGGGCTTATCTTAACCTCTTTGGTCTCTGATAGTATTGACCACAGGCTTAGATCTCCTGGACCTGAGCGAACCCGTCTCACAAACCCAAACCAAAGTCAAGAGGTCGGAGGCCTCGTCGAAAACCTCATCCCTCAAGAAGAAGGCTGACGGGTCTGATCTAATCGGTGCGGATGCTGAGCAGAGGGGTCAGCCGCCTCGAGGCCCGGAGACGTCATCCTTAGATTTAGGTGAGGCAATAGCTAGTGTCTGTTGCTGCTCTCCCTCGCCTCGAGGACAAGGAAGTTCCCCAAGTGACATTAAAACCATGGGCAAAGGAGCGGGAAGGGTTAATTCTGTGTAGAAAACTGGGCAGAACACACTTCTTTTGTGCTTGGATGAAATGACAGTTGGGGGTTCCACTTTGCGTAACTGAGAGGGAGTCGTTCGTGTATTTATTCAACCCACATACACTGAGTTCCTCACAGGTAGCAGACACCACGCTAGGCACTGGAGTTACAGGTAAAATCAGGCATGAATGTTGCTCTCTGGGAGCACTCAGTCTAGAGGAAGAGAGCCCACTGACAGAGAGATAGACAGACAGACAGACAGACAGACAACTGTAACACAAGGTCCAGGAACAACCAACCAGATGGAATGCTAACTTGTAATAGGTGTGAAGAAGATACATTCAATACAATCACCAGCTCCCATCTATTGATGGCTTATGATGTCCAGAACTGTGTTACATGTTTTATATATATTAGCCCTTTAATTCCTTCCCAACTCTTTGAAAAGAAGTGAGAAACCAGGATTTCAAATTTAAGTGATTTGCCCAAGAGCTCAGTCAGTATGAAGAAGAACTGGGATTTGAGGTTAGCTCTTAATTAACTTCAAAGCCCATACTAGTATCCACTGTACATGTTCCTGAGAAAGGAGACCCTCAGCTCATGGAACTAGTCATAGTAAGCTCTTCCTTCTCAGGAGAAATAAAGGTGGCGGGTATTTTAGAAAGCCAAAGGTAACTCTTTTTTTTCCAGGCTGTGACTGACTTGGTGTGCACATGTACACATACATGCATGGGTAAATATTCATAAAATTAGCATATTAGTAACTTATCCATAAGGTGGCGAATATTAAAGGGAATATATATATGTGAAATCGCTTCATACTGTGATGTGTACCTGTTAGATGGTCACGAATTAATGTATTCACTTCATGTGTCCCACTACAAGAGGTGCCAGAAATACATAGATAAATCATATAAGCTCTCAACCTTAGTTAAGTTTACATTCTATTTCAGTAAGCTTCCAGTCTAGTGGGCAGAGAGAAAAAAGATTCCGTGAGTATAATAAAACGTGCACTGCAGTAGTCCCCTGTGCATGCAGCTTCACTTTCTGAAGTTTCAGTTACCTGTGGTCTGAAAATGTTAAATGGAAAATTCCAGAAGTAAACAATTTATGGGTTTTAAATGACGTGCCATCCTGGGTAGCATGATGAAATCTCGAGCTGTCTGGCCGCATCCCGCCCAGGGTGTGAATCATCCCTTTGTGCAGCTTCTCCACACTGTATACACTACCTGCCCACTCGTCACTTAGTAGCTGTCTCAGTGATCAGATTAAGTGCTGTGGTACTGCAGTGCTTACTTAATAGTGGCTCCGAAGGGCAGGAGAGTGATGCGGGCAATTCGGAGGTGCCAAAAAGAATCTGTTAAGTTCTTCCTTGAAGTGAAAAGGTGAAAGTGCTCAATTTAATAAGGAAAGAAAAAAGTCATATGCTGAGGTTGCAAAGTCCTATGGTAAGAATGAATCTTCTATCAGTAAAATTGCCTAATTTTTAAATTGAACTTTATCTTAGGTGTGTATATATAGGAAAAAACATGGTATGTATAGGGCTCAGTAGCACCCACAGTTTCAGCATCCACTGAGGGTGTTGGAAAGTGTCCCTTGTAGATAAGGGGAGCTACTGTATATGTTGCAATACAGGGAAACCCAGGTTGCTTCCTACAAGAGCACCTTCATGGAGCCCCTGACCCCGCCAGCAGGCTGTAGAAGGGAGGTGCTATGGGAGCGGACTCTTGAGGGGTGAGTGGGAATTTTCCAGATGAAAAATGCAGATCAGAGAGAGGAGAGGAGGAAGGGACAGGACATCTTTTTGATGCAGAAGAGAAAGGGATTCACACACAAATAGACAAACACAAGAAAATTATATCTTTTCAAGCAAATACAAGTATCATTATAGTATTCAAATAGTGAAAAATAACTCTGAGAATCTCTTGGGGTCAAGATAATGGGAGTTCTCGGAAGCCGTGCCCTTGGGTTTGGCAGGGTTCAAGGATTTTCCACCTGAGAGTGACATCGACAGATTCTAACCTTAAATAAAAACTTTTATCTGGTAGGTGTATATAGAAAGGAGTGGGAATAGAAAGACCAATACAAACATCTAGGATAGCGACAGAGGGGATGATTAGAGGAAGACACATTTAGAAAAAACTCACACAGGACTTGTGGACTGAGAAGACGTGTGTTTGCCAGCAAGGAAGACATGTAGAATGTGCCAGACTCTGTGATGAGGATCCAAGAGGGACAGAGGGAGGGAGAAAGACAAGGTGGAAACCACTGGGTTCCATTTTGAGCCTTTTCTACAGGGTGGGGAAAAATTAGGTTTACAGTTGTTCTTATGGAAAATAATACAATGCTTAACAAAGAAGAAGAAGAAACTCTGTGTTTTGCAAGCTCGCAACTGTAAACCTATTTTTTATTTGAGGAAACTGTGGGACTTCTCTGTGAAAATGTCCAGAAGACTCTTAAATGTGTACTTCTAGAACTCAGGAGAGAGGGCTGAGCAGGAAATGGAGATCTGACCGTCTGAAGCCGAGGAATGGACATCACATTTATGGGTGTAGATGACGTCATCCAGAGACAGAAGATAGAGGACGGGAGCAGAACAACACCTATTTCAAACCAGCTGCATACGAGGATCCCTTCCCCCCTGCCCTGCCTCTCTTTGAGGCCTGACTCTTTGGAGGAAGACTTTATACCTCTCTAATACTTCTTCATCATCAGCGTGTTCAGGGTTTATTCAGCTACACAAATGAGTACATGAAATTTATACATTTGTATAAAAATATATTATTAAACACATTACAATATAACACACTGTAACTATAAAGAAACTTAAACTTCTCTGCTTTTGAGAAAATATTTCTGTAAGAAGTTATAAAAATATTTAGAGAACTTTGGAGGATATAACTGCAAACCTATCTTTTCATAAGGAAAAAAATGGACCCCAAGGTTGTCTGGGCAGTTTATTTATGGTCACATGCTTGTTAACCAGAGAGGACCCTCCAGGTTCTTCATCTGTAAGGATGAAGCCACGAGGAGAAGATGGTGCTGGCATTCTCTGGGCTTTCCCCATTGCCTCCTTTCTCTCCATCCCCACTGTTAACTCCCTCCTTTGGTGAGAAATTAAGCAGTCTGTACAAAAGCTGTGAAAGGTGCCCCAGTTTATTCTCACCTCCTTTTAACAGGGAGCCTCTTTAAACAGAATTTCTTTCTAGAAACATGCCAGAAGTGCCTCCCAGCCACTGTCTTACCTGGAGGTCGGTAGAATATAGTGCTCCATAAGCTCTTTCCCACGAGGGTCCGTGGACTCACACACAGGATTCAGAATGTGCGCAGCTCTTGAAATAAATTCAGGTAAAACAACTTGATTGCTTGACTGTAAAAGCAATCTAATTTCTTTAATAGGTTTCATTTTTATTTAGCTGAACATGCTTCAATTATCAAGTCACCTCAATGAAATGGTCTTAGGGTTTGAAAACATCAGTTGAGTAAAGTTCACTAGGATAACACTTCCCAGTCTTAACCGATCTCTCTTCCTCTCTCTGGTCCTCATATGCTCCCTCACCCCCTTCCTGTCTCCTTCCTAGACATTCAAACACAACTGGAAAAATGGGATGAGGTTAAGTTTCATGGCGACCACAAGGGCCATCCAATGGCAGAGAGAAAATCATGCTCATCTAGAACTGGTTCCAAAGAGCTGTTGTGGTAAGATATTTTAAATCAGAAAATAACCATTTATGTGTTCGTTGTGTAGGTTTTTCCTCTCACGCACTGAGATAGCCAATGAGTTAAGTCAGTCCAAATACTTGGTGCCATGTATAACCTCTTACGTATCAATGTTCATTACTGTGGCTTCTAAAACTAAATTATTTCATCTAAACTGTCAAAAATCAGCCAATATTCATTCAATATTCAATATTTGTTGGTAATTTTCTGAATGTGTAATTGAGTTGATCAAAATAGGTACATACATGTGTTGGCCGATGTGTGTGTTCAATATGTGACATGAGTGATAGTTAAATTAAAGGTGTCTGGTTGCACAGGTAACCTTTTCTGACTTTATTCATCGTCACTGTCAGATAATTTACTATTTCAGGGTGATCCTTGGAGGCTGTGAGAAAAATTGGCCTCCTGCATTTTGCCATATTTTTACAGCTTCCTAAAGGACAGTGTGTTTTAGTCCCCTTTTGCCCCTCACACACCTCCACTTGTTATGACATTTTATGTTCTATACGAGGGTTAAATCACACCTGAGAGGCTTTGTGAGAATCTCTCCTGCCCTCAAAATAATACTTTTTAATAAAGCAGAACTTTGTTAGAGAAGTGGCATTGCATTCCTTTAGTTTTTGCACATAATTGGACTGAATTCTAAATCAGAGGCCATAACACCTAGCACATCGCAGCCACTTAAATCCCAAAGATGATCATTATAATAAAAACGTATGAAAGTTATCTTTTTCATCAAAATCCTGGTGAGAGCTTTGTTCCCGTGGCTCCCCATGATCCCCGTTACCTAGGTTTCTCGGCCGGGTTTCGAGCCAAATCTTTTTCCCAGTGTTCATTAGCTGCCTTCATTGATCCCGTGCAGGTCCTCAGAGCACAGATCCCAGCCAGAGCTGAGCAGTGGGAAAAGCGCGCTGAACTCCGAGTCGGCCGAGTTGGAGCTAGTACCTCCCACGCAGGTAACGCATCAATTCTTCCATGAACCCGTCTTTTCTCAGAGATGGTTTATATCTTAAATATTTTATTTAAATTTTCACCAAAAGTTCTAAGTATGTTTTCTTTATTTCGTATTACCATGTCCTTTCTTACTGAGTATCTGTCTCCGTGCCTGGACTGGAAAATGAGGTAATGAAATCGGGCGTCGGTGGCACCTTTTCCTATTTCCAGCACTCAGTGTTGCATGAGTGGGCAGTACAAAATTCGTACTGCTCCATTACCAGCACTGCCGATGTAGCAGAAACAAAGAAGAGGAAATTACATCTTGAGTGCTCATTTCCTTCCATGGCCCGTGGAACAGGGTGCTTATTACACATCAGGAGCCTGACTGCCATGTTGAAACAAATTTCAAAGAAGGAATAAATAATTATAGTATTAGCAGTAATGGCAACACTAAGAGCTCCCGTTTGTGAGCGTGCCCGCTGAGGATTACGCGCTCGACTCTGCCTTACATGTGTCATATCTAACACTGAAACACTCCTGTGAACTATTATTGGCCTCACTTTAAAGATCCTTTAAAGGGTCTCAGAGAAGTAAAACTCCTTTTCTGGGGCAACCCAGCTCACCCCTGGCGGCGGCGGGGTGGGGCTTTGCCCACTGCCTGACTCTCCTCTACAGTGTAACTGACTTGTCTATCACCAGCTATCGCCTGTGGTCACCACTGCCGAGAAAGCCAAGTCTCAATCTTTCCATTCACTCAAACGCTTTACAAGGGTACAGCCTGGATCTAAAGCCACCAAGATCTCTGAAGAAATGTGTCTACATTCATACACTCTACAATTTAGTTAAAAACAGGGGGTCGAATGAAGTAAGCCAGAAAAATTCTCTTGCGCTTACTAGATAAGATATTGAAACTAAAAAGAGAAATATATTATTTGAGGCAAAGTAGAGGGATAATTATGATAATAGCAAATATTATTAAATGCTATGATAAGGTCTGCTAATATGTATTATAAATACATTTAATACTGACAAATGGCTCCATGAGTTAATTTATTACCCTCACTTGACAGATGGAGAAATGAAGCACAGTGAGATTTAGAAAACTGTGCATCCACAACTAGTAAGTGACAGAGACTTGGCTGTCTAACCAATAGCACCTCCCGCATGCACTTCACCCTGGGCAAGAAAGGGTGGAGGTTACTGCCCCCAGAACTCTGCTGGAAAGCAGCTCAACTAACATCCAGAACAAAGAACCCTGGGAAGCTTAATGAATTGTAAATGTAGCATGAAATATATTTTCCTCCTCTGGGTTCATTCTAAATGTGTCTTTTTTAAAAGCAAAATAATAACTTTTATTAGAGAAACGTTTCTTAATAAAAGCGTTAGAAATTTAGACTTGACTAATGTAATTGGTACCGTCTCATGAAGTGGAATCCTTGGGACAATTTAAAGTAGAACTAGGATGTTTGTTTCACAAGCTAGGGGAGACTTGGCTCTGCATGGAGCTGGAGGAGGGGGAAGACCAGCTGGGGTCCTGGTTGCCGTGGAGACCCACGATGCAGTATCTTATTATTCCAATGACTGCTACTCTCCTGCTGGTTGTCTGATTTCATCCCACCACTGACCCAACAGTGTGCCTTTAAGCAAAAACAATGTGCTTCAGAAAATTCGTATGAGATTCCCAATATTGTCCTTCAAAACTATTGAAAATGCACTGTGCCCTGACCAGTGTAGTCCAGTCGGTTGGGCTCCATCCCACAGAGAGGAAGGTCGCCAGTTCAATTCTTGGTCAGGGCTTGTGTCTGAGCTGTGGGCCTATGTGAGAGGCAACCAAGTGATGTTTCTTTCAAACACCAACATTTCTCTCCCTCTCTTTCTCCCTTCCTTCCCCTCTCTCTAAAATTAATAAAATGTTTTGAAAACATAAAATAAAATAAAACAAAATGCACTGTGACAGTTCTCTGTCTAGATGAACCATAATGACTCCTTTGAGTTACTTCTTTGTAAAGAATATAACCCTTCATTTTTTAAAAATACTGTGTGTTTATTTATCAAGCTTTCCCTTAACTAAGTAAATTCACAGTCTTTTTTCATTGTACTTCCAGCCTATGGTTAAATTAGGAAAATTTCATGAACTTGAGATTTAATCATCTGAAATACTGTCATTCGAATGGCAAAGAGTAGACTGACTAATCTACTTTTAATAAAAAACAAAATGTTTTTACTATTAGAAGGAGATTGCTCTTAAATATATGATCCCTTTACATAGAAAAATGATGAAGGTAGTATAAACACTCAAAACTGACTTGCAAACTATTCAGTAAACAACTTCGACTCTCCAAAACTTGTCACTGCTCCACCCCCAAAACTTGTCACTCAGAGAGCTCACAGGGAAATCAAGGAAATGTTTTCTCCTCTTTCAGGCCAACTTAAATAATCCTAGGCCCAACAGGGGAGGAGCCATTTGCAAGCCTTGTTTAAAAAGCATATTTCAGAATCAAATAAAATGGAAGTTCGCAATAAGAAGAATTCTTACATTAGCTCATTTCTTATCCAGATGGAGCAAAGGGAAGACAAAGTACAGTCTCTTCCACAAAGGGTTTTGAATACACTAATCAGAGTGACAAGATACTATAATAAATTACATGATCTCTAAATATTTAAGAATAAACTTTTTGACACAAACTATGTATTTAGTATGCCCTGGAGTTCAATGTTTAAAGAAACTATGCAATCTAAAAAATTAGAAAACATTGGAAAAACTGAAGAGAAACACAGAAAGTAATGATGTAAAATTAGCTGTTTCCATAAATGGACTGAGAGAGCGGCGAGGCAAAAGAAAAAACTCCAACTTCTGCTGGAGACCGACGGCTCAAGGGTTTCTTTCTCCAGTCTGGACACGGGAAGGAGAGCTCCCAGACAGGCTCTTCGCCCATCCCGCTGGGCTTCACGAAAATGCACGACGTGCGGCGGCCAGGTTCTCTGACACTTAGTCCCAATCTTGCAACTCTCTGATTTTGCTGGCTTGCCACTGCAAGTGATTCCTTGTGCATAGTTATAATCCCATTGGGATGGCACTGTCCCAAAACATAACAATATGAACTTTAAGATGTACGTGCAGATATGTTGTCTAAATTTTTAAACTAGTGATGCAAAGGAAATGCATTTCATAGCTGTCGTACTACACACTTCATGTGTAAAATGTGAAATAGTTCTAATACATTCTTTGACATGCTTACCGTAATCCTGGAAATTAATATCCCTATTTCTCAGATGAAAAGTTATTCCACTTAGAGAGTGGAATAACTTTCCCCAGGTGACACAGCTGAGGAGGACAGGAGCCAGCATTGGATTGACACCTGTCAGCTTGGAAAACCCTTGTTCTTAACCACCCCTCACCTTGAATCAGCCACCTCAAGCTTATCCACCTGAGAAAACTCCCAGACCATCTGTTTCAGTTCTCATTGCAAACCTGATTGCTACGTTTATAGGGTTAATATGAGTTAAGTGATTCTAAAGAATAGTTATCACTCTCTTCCAGAAACTTTTTAAGATAAATTAGGATTGTCATCTGATCTGAAGCTACATACAATTCTGTGCCTCCCCCTGCCAAGTTCATTCTCAAACTCGTAGAAATGTGGATGGCTTCCATTTTATTCCACTTTGATTCAACAACTGTGATTGAGTGTCTACAATTCATAAAGCCATAGTGAGGTTGTGAAAAAGTTAGAAACAGAGATTTGACTGGAGGAAGTAGCAAGGCCTTTCTATCTCTTAGGAACAGGTAGTACACTATAAATGTAGTTTTGCCTGTTAGAAGATGGCACGGGAGCCACATACTCATCCCCTTGCCCCTCCTAGACCTATGCAGTGAGCTGCCAATGGGGAGGGAAGCAAGCAAAGGTGGAAGGAAGGAAATAAGGAAAGAAAGGCAAGGACAGGCAGGAGGGCAAGGAGGACGGGAAGAAAGCTGAACGACCTTTTTTGGCCTAGTAGGAAATCTGTACATAGAAAGCACTCAACAAATACTCGTTGAAGTGAAAAATTAGAGAATGCTAACAAAAAGAAGAAACAATACACACTTGCCAAATTTAATAATTTGTACGTTGTGGTTAATGGTTAAAGAGTAGAAAAACAAAAAAATTAATTCTTGATCATTTTGAAGCTAGTTTCAAAAGTACCTTTGAGTTATTCATGATAATAGACTGTCCGTCTCTTTTCAACATCAGCAATGTTTCGCCTTGATGCTCTACAATACAGAATTTCATAGCTGGATGGAGATGGGAACCATATGCCCCCTCCTTGCACAAAGCTCAGAATTTGAAAGTAGAGCTTATTTGCGAGCTTTCTATGATAAACGTCTGCTGACTGAGCAAGAAAAAAAATCTAAGCATTTCACTGAAGCAAGTGTTTAAATCATCTGTTGTAGTGTAAGAATCCAACCAGTCGTCCGTCAGTAACCACTGAACAAAAGTGCTGGAGGCACAGATATTTTTTTAAGGTATTTCTAAAGACACACCTGATGAATACTAACCAGAAAGATGAAAACAAAGGCCAAGTTTTATTGAGCACTTACTATGTACTGAGCATTTTGTGTGTATGTTTACACGAATCCTCGTTCTCAGTTCCTTTATTGATTCTGTAAATGAATGCACACTGTGCAGACTGAGGATTACAGAGCTGAAGTCGTTTGTCCCAGGTCACCAGCAAATGGGTCTGGCCCCAGGCAGTCTGACTCCAGAGGTTACATTTTTCATGACTTTGTTATATTGTCACCTCAGGTCTGTTGGTTGTTACATTTTCTCTTCTACAGTTATGCAGATCCCTTTTCCCCTTCCATTTCTTTTGAAAAGATGCTGAGCTTTCTAAAAACATGTTCCGGTGGGAGATCTTTGGCAGCCACATAAAAGCAACGCACGAGAAGCGATAAATGACTGGCATAGAGACGGCTGACAAAGTTATGCCAGCACCACCGCAGCCACCGACACGGCCAGTTTCAAATCGTAATTGTGATCACATTCACAATTTTGAATAAGGGACATAAAACATAACAGTCTTTTTAAAGAGTTAATTTCTTTCTTCTTTCCCTTCATCTAGTGCCTATAATTCAGAACAATCAAAGCCAAAGGAACTAATGCTTTCTTCTTTGGAGAGTTGCAAGACCCTAAAATCCAATTAGCTTAGACCAATTAAAATGCTGTTTTCAATGCTAAGGCACTTCCAGGAGGTTGCTGTAAACATGGAGCATTTTTTCAAAATCATGCAAAGAAGAAAAGCAACGTCTCTGTCAGAGTACATTTGCAAACTCCTGAGTTCACCATGTCGGTACCGAGACCCAAAGTTCTCCTACTGTGGTCCCTCCACCGGCCTGATCAGCATCACCTGCGAACTTGTTAGAAAGCAGATTCTGGGGCTTCACCCCACCTACGGAACCAGAAACCCTAGGGGTGGACCCAGTAAGCTGCATCTGAGTCAGACCTCCAGGCGATCCTGATGCCCACTAAGGCTTGAGACCTACTGATACAGAGCACTACCGTGGCGGCAGAACAGCTGCAACACAAATGAATGGTGTCCGGTCTGGTTTGCCATCCCTCTAGGTAAACACTAAGCCACAGCCACTGTTTACAGGCGCTGCTTACACAGGCTTTCCGGTATCACAGGTTTGCCCGTAATAATCTTTAGTTGCACATGAATCTCAACTTGAAAACCGCTTTTTTTACATTCAGTATTTACCTGTATTTTATAATGTTCATCTCATGCTTCTCTGGGTAAAAATATGGCTTTCAAATGTGAGGTAGATGACACCTATTTAGTAATAATCCAAAGCCTTTCTAATGGCATGGAAAATACTATTTACCTGAATAGCAATTGTACTAGCAAAATATAATTTCCTTTGCATGGTAATATTCTATTTATACTTGCTGTCTTAGGTGGTATAGAGAATGTGAACTGTTAAGTCTAGAATCCTGAGGGAGAGATTTTCCTCTTCTCCCTTTGTCTCCTGTGACTCCTAATCCACTCGGGTCATGAAACATTGATGAAGGGAAGCTGGTGGCAGCAGTGGAGTCCTGTGAGGTCAGGCTTCACGGGAAGGACAGATTGCATCTCACCGGTGAAAAGTGCCTGGGATAGAAGGTGGCTTGGCACAAAAATACTGGTGCTTTCTTTTTCTTCTCTCAATGCCGTTCACAACTCATTCATGATATTATTACACAAATACACAAAGCTCATGTCTTGCCATGCATCCACAGTTTGAAATTTACTTCTTTTTCATTTCATTAATGAAGGAACCAGCAGGAAGACCTAAGAATAGATTCCAAAAGCAACAGATTAAGGGTTGGAGACTCATATAAGCAGCTGGAAAAGAAATGCCAAAATCAGTTTGCCAAGTTAGAGACAGGACTGTGTAACTCTTGACAAGAAAAAAGTATTCTGTCACCTTCGGGGTTTACTTCTCTAGCAGACTCACATTTACAAGTTGGAGAGGTTGTAAGCCATCTGCACCTATATATTTGTTAATCAAACATGGTGACCCGAGAGTGTCAGATAACGGTTGTGACCGGATGAATGGTAGCCAGCAAAAAGATATGTCTGCACCTAAACCCCCAGAACCTGTGACGGTTCATCTCACGTCTATGTTTGGGTCCTGTTCCCTCCCTGCCTCCGTGGTCTATGGGCCTTCCACAGGCCTACAAACAAAATAGGCTAGAGGTGCACCTCTTACTTTCCACAGTTAATTTTTCAAAAAGAAAGCATTCATTGTTTGTCAAATTGAAAATTAACAATATGTTTAAAAATTCCAGCAGACTCTTCGCTGGGCCCGTTAATTGTGACAGTGCAGCAGTTAGCGTTACCAGCCCTGATTTCACCTACATGACTGTTATTTAACAGAGAGCCAAGTCCTCAGCAAATGGGACATAAGGCAGATGTGCGCCAGCAGAGGGAAGGCCAAGGAAGGACAACCCAGCATGCAGACCTGCTACACACTTTACGAGAAAGACCTTCCCACCACCGTTCATTTCTACAGCTTCCCCAGTTTTACCTGAGGCTGGTCATTTTTTCTAACAAGCCGAAAGCTTGAATATCAGCTTCTAGGTCTAGTCTTTTAATGGAGATTCTCCATTCCAGCTGCCTGTTAGAATCATATGGGAGACTTACTAAAATATTAGCACCTAGCACCAAGGCTAATTAAAGTACGGTCTTTGGTTTCAACGTGACCAGGGCTGAGCCCCTGTTAGATGAGTCATGCCTGTGTGCACTCGCACAGTTTGGCACCGTGCCAGTTTGGGAAATATCGTGCTTGCAAAGTACTCCAGAAATGACGTCAGTTGCAAGTGCTGCTTAAACTCTAGGGGAATATGGGAAAAGGAAAAATAATTGTACTTTCGTGCTTTGGGATTCCAATATTGTAACACCGTGGGTCTGCTTTATTTCAGGCTCGGCTGACCAAAGAGCAGCGCTGGGGAAGTGCCCTGCTCTCCAGAAACCACTCCTTAGAAGAGGAGTTTGAAAGGGCAAAAGCAGCAGTGGAGGTAACTTTTCTAAAACTGTTTTTGTGTCGTGTTTCTGAGACGGGCATTCAAAAAATACAATTTCGGCAGGAAGCATATAAAATGAGTCTTACTTTACAGATATGAAATAACCATGGCTATGACTGTTAGAATGAGACCCATTACCAGAGAACTTTGACTTCCTGCCTGCAGTGACTAATAGAGTCTGTGGTGGATTTGCAGCGACCATGTGGAGAACTCTGAGGCTCATCTGGGTTCTATGATGCGCCTATGCTATGCCTCGTCTCTGTGTCTCCATGAGGCCAAGATCCACACCTGACATTTTTAGCTCTCTGGCATGTACACAAGGCCTGAAACATAGAAGGTCTTGCTGCCCCAGAAATACTGTACATTCTCCTAACCGAGAAGGCATGACTGAAATACTCCGGCCAATGGAGGGCCTATCTTGATTCAAGCTGTAATTTTTTTGCTGTTAAGAGTATCCAAAACAAATGGTAAGATTTCATGCTTTTTATATCCGAGTAATATTCCATTGTATGTATACATACCACATCTTCTTTATTCAATTGTCTATTGATGGACAGTTAGGTTGCGTCCATATCTTGTCTATTGCAAATAATGTTGCAGTAAACCTAGGAATGCATATCTTTTCTAATCTAAAAAACAAAATTAATGAACAAAAAAACAAATTGACAGATACAGAGAGCAAACTGATGGTTGTCAGGTGAGAGGGGGTTGGAGGGATAGATAGAAAGGTGAAGGAATTAAGAAATACAAATTAGTAGTTACAAAATGGTCATGGGAGTGTAAAGTGCAAACAGGGAATGTAGTTCATAATATTAGAGTGACTATGAACAGTGCCAGGTGGGTCCTTGAATTATGGAGAGATCACCTCGTGGGTTATGCAAGTGTCTAACCTCTATACTGTGCACCTGAAACTGATATAATATTGAATGTCACCTGTAATTGAAAAATAAAAATAAAAAAGAATATTCCAATGACAGGTTTGATAAATCAAATGAGAGACTTAATTTGAATAATAATTTTCTTATTAGCCTTTTAATGAGCAAGAAAGAGAGGAGGAAGAGGAAAGAAGGAAGGAAGGAAGGAAGGAAGGAAGGAAGGAAGGAAGGAAGGAAGGAAGGAAGGAAGGAAGAAAGGAAGGAAGGAAGGAAGGAAGAAGGGAAACCAAACACGGCACTCTTTGCTGTTTTTTTATCCGCTTTCTTTCTGGTGAGAATCACAATGAGTGCTTCAGTGACGCCACCTGTGGGACCCGTCCCAGCTTTGTTGCTTCACTGTCTGAGAGTGGAGCTCCCCCCAAACCCAAGTAGGAACTGGTCAGGATCTCCATTCTATAGCTGATGGGCAATCTTGAAGATTTAAAGTATTCCTGTAATAGGGTTCATTTATTAGCTGTCTTATTGCTAAAATTTGAGCAAAATTCTTACACTAAGAGCAGTCTTTCAGTAACTCCATGCTTGAAATACAATTAAATCATATTTTCAGTTTCATAGTAAAAGGAGTCTTTGTATTCTAGGAAATAATCCCAGCCATAATTTCACATCATCATTCAGAAACGCAGTACAAGAACACTTTTATCTCATCACAGTACAATCTACCCAAATTTCTTCTTTAATTTTAACCTTTTTATTTAAAAAAATTAATTCATATTTAGAGCTCTTGAATGTGATCAACTTATATATTTGATTGAGACCACACTGCCCAACTGCATGGAGCCCATAGCTTAATTTATCTTACATGTAGATTTTTTTCAGACTTAAGAGCTAATTTAAATTCATCTTTTGACCTCCTACTACATGTGGTGCACTGAATTAGCACTAAAGAGACAGTTATTTGAAACCATAACATCTTGGATTAGTACAGACAGTTTATCTGGTCCTATTTATAATGAGAAAGACAATAAGTTCACACTTCAAAGTAACATACCAACAAGACAAAACTTATCCATCTATCTATGTATCTATCTATCTCTATCTCTGTGTTATATATAGATAGATATAGATATAGATATAGATATAGATATAGAGTGATATACAGATACATACTCACAAAATCATATCATCTTGGTTTTGGTAGACACCTTGGAAGTTATGTATCCCAACCAGGTACACAAACCAAGTTTTTTCTATTCAACCATACTTGGCAAGTTATTTATTCCAAAATACCCTGTTTCTACTTTAACACCTCTAATTAGGGACAACTCACTTCTGTTCAGGAAAACCTATTTTAGTTCTCAACAGTCTTAACTATTAAAAAGCCCTTCCCCATTTTATGCTGAAATTGGCATACTTCCAGTTTTGCTTTGTCTTGACTTTGCCCTCTGGGGAACAAGGCAGAATCAGCTGGATCCCCCCTCTACAGTGATACCCGCCTCGCCCCTCGAAGGCTTATCTTCTCCTGTCTTCTCCTTGTCTCTCCTCTGTTGCTATTTCAACCTCTCTCTAATAGCTTCATTTCATCAACAATATGGGCCTCAGTGCCCATACCTGTACGGTCCTTTCCAGTTACAAAATCCTGGGAAGCTGTAAGTTACTTCGGTAGTCATTCATTCGACAAACATTACTGGCTGTCTATATGTGCGGGCTGCTGAACTAGGGACTAGAGATAATGAGCCAGCCTTAATTAGCTGTCTAACAGTACCGCGGACCAGAGGACCAGTTTGGACAAGTCACTTGTTCCATCTACTTTTGTTTCCTTATCTGTGAGGTGAGGAAATTGGGCTTCTAACAGACTAAAATCCTATAAATGGTAAGTACAAAATTTCCAGCAAATCAGAAAATTGTAAGCAAATTTGCTTGGCTGGAAGCCTAGAACTGAGAAGCTTCCCGAAGGAATAAGAGAGATGATTGCTGATCAGAAGGTGAGAACAGGTGTGAACGAAAAAGGTGAGGGATGGGGAATGTTTCACTAAGCTAATGGTACATCAGACCACAAACCCCCCCACACACACACGGACTCTGTGCTTCCTGCCATTATTCTTATCCAGGGTATAATCTAAATGCATAGCAGAAGACATATTAAAATGCATCAGAGTCTTGGAAATATACACCCCCTTGACCCAGCCACTTCTTAGCATCTACCTCAGAGGAATAATTGTGAAATTTTATGATATTTTATCTTTAGAATTGTTTGAAATAGTAAAAATGATAAAAAATTGGAAACAGCCTAAATGTCTCATGATATAGAATTAACCAAAATATATCTCTATTATCTCTATAATGTAGCTTTAAAAAACTAAAAATAAGATCGTGTAAAAATGTAGTGATAATTGGAATAATAATTTATATACTGACAGTTTTAAAATAGGATCCCAACTTTGTAAGGCAAAAAGAGCATAATCCCTAACATGTTCAAGTATGGGCTGTGAGCCAGGCACTGAATCGGGACCATTACGTGGATTCTCGTTTACCCCTCAGAGTCCTATGAAGAACATGGTGCTACTACTCTCACTTTGCAGGTGAGAAATAGAAGCTTAACCAGATTGCAGTTATGTGTCATTGTATAATCAATTAAGATAGACCGACAAATGAACAACCCTAATTTAGCAAGCTACAAAGTCATGATTTTTACGCAGACCCTGAATCACCACACTATACAGTGAAGGATAAAGAGAGTGTGTGTTGAAATGGATGGCTGGATTTGGGATATTTTATTTCGCCTCTTAGTTTATCTGTATTTTCCAAATATTCCATCATAAACATGTGTTATGTTGGTAATCAAGGGAAAAGTGGTAAGTTATAGACATTACAGAAGGATATAAGATTCTTAAAAGAACTAAAAGTGCCCTTTCTTCATTTCTAGACAATTAAAGAACAGTACCACAGACTGACTTCAGCATACAGACAGTTCTTAACAATAGTTGAGACCGAGATGAAAATCATTTTCTAAGCTGAGTTTTTCCACAGTCTCCATTTTATATTTTATGTCATCTGATTTTGATATTCTTTCTATTTCACGGTCTATTTCCATTCTTAAGTGCTAACTTTTTATTTTATTTATTATTTTTTGTCACCATCCTGCCTAATGACCCGGCAGCTGGCCCCCTGTTCACAGCTCCTGCCTCACAGTCCCCTCCTCAGCCCTGGGGCACTGACGCCCTCCTCCTCTCCTCCCAAAGCAGCCCACTGCCCATCGGCTCTGTCTTCCCACAGAGAAAACTCTCGCCCCTCATCCTCACCTGGCCAGATCCTTCTCCTCCTCGAGTTTTAGCTCGAGTGTCAGGGCCTCAGGAAAGCCTGGCCCTGACCACCCTGTTGCTGGCACAGCACCTAGAGCTGTGTTTTTCTTCCTCATATTTCTCACTGGTTTGTTTTGATTTATTTGTCCATTTGTTGTCTTTCTGTTTTAAAATGTAACCCCCGTGAGAAAGGGGTCCTTCTCTCTTATTACCACTGTACCTCAATATCTAGGACAATGTCTGATACCTAGTAAGTATTCAGTACATATTTGTCGAATTAATGGGTAGATAGTTATCTACATTAGGTGATTGTTAGTCACCTAATGTAGGCAATTTGTTCTAACATTGCATAGATACCATTGCATGTAAAGTGCCACGTCACCTCTTAATAAAATTTAGGACCTGCATTTTCATACTAACATAAACAAGCAGTTCTGTTTATGGGATTCAGGTTCTTGCCGGGGACTGTGCTGAAGCATCATCCCCTGGGTTTGTCTTGGTCTCGGTGTCAGTCAGTGAGACACACGTAAAAGAATGCAGGAAGCACCAGCCAATTTTCTGTGGAGCAGCGCTGGGCACATTTTGTTTCCTGCATGGCACAAACTAGTTTTTCTTATACTAAGTAGCACCTGACAACATATAATGCAACTAATGTCTGAGCTAAAATGTCCTAAAATGCAGTATCTTCTACTGGAGAAAAGATGGCGGATGCACATGCATATTTATTGCACATCATAAATGACCTGGGAACTATTCTGTGCAAAGGCTGACATGGCTCAAGCTCAAGGTCAAGGTGATCTCATGAGGCCTTGTATGGTGG